GTAACTTCACCACTGAGCTAAAAGGGTGTCTGGGGGCCATACTCTTGAGGTTTCTCCAGTCTCCTTCAGGCCAGTAAATCTGGTCTTTTTTTTTTATCACAGTAATTTTTATGAAATTGATACGCTCTCTGCCAGGGCATCTATTTTAATAGTGCATTTGATCCTGACACATTTATTGGTTCCGTATTAGAGCTTTCTTTCTGCCAAGGGATTTGTGGGAAGAAAAGAGTACAAAAGTTAAAGTGAAATGAAAACTCTGAAGGGTGTAATTTTAGCAGGGATAAAAGTACTGCAACATGAACTGATAAACTTCAAAGTGGTGCAAATGCTGCTGTGGGCACAATGTGCCTGCCGGAAGTAAGGCGTGGGACTGCAGCTGCAGTTTGGGTGCAGGCTGTGGGTTACCTGGGAACACTGTGTCTCCACTGCACAGAGGTAGGTGGCTGAGTCTTCCAGTTGAGAGGTTGCAATGTGCAGGGTACTATAGAGTTCCTTAGAATTAATAGTGGACTTTAACCTTCCATTCTGTTTCGTGCCTGAAGCTATGAAAAACAGACTGATGAGGCCTCCTCCAGGAGTCTGTCGGAACCACTGCACATTGTTTGTGGTGGTAGAATAATTGCACCTCAGAGTAGAGTTGGTTCCCTCCTGGAGGCTCAGGGCCGAAGGACTCTGCTCCACCTTCACCCCTCTCACCCCTGCTTGGAAAGAGAAAAACAAACATTTAACTGGTGAATCATTGATGCAGTTTCTAAACTGTAAAAATATCTTGAGAATTATGGATGAGGATATAGGACGGCCAGGAGCTTTGTGTGAGCCCTTCCCAGCCTCTTTCCCACTGTCAGCTGTGGAACACTCCCCAGCCCCCCATCTGGGATGACCCCAACTCACAGCAAACCTGGACCCACAGAATCCCCAGCAGAGCTCCCAGTCGCCTCTTCATGACTCCTTATCTGGTTGCTGGGGTGTCTCCACCCCTACTCTGGAAGGTGTCAAGTCTTAGGTCCAGAATAAATTATGCTCTTACAGTCAATAAGTTCCACCAGCCTCACTAAGCACCAATCACATCTGAGTTCTGTCATTTATCTTAACAGGAAACTCAACCTACAGAGAGGATGTACAGTAGTCTCTCTAAAATTGTGGGTATGAATAGTGCAGAGAGGTAGGAGATTTCCAATGTACGAAAATAGAAGGGTTTTTTTTTTTTTTAACCTCTGAAAACATTCTATGTAACAGAAGGTTGTGGGATGTAGGGTAGAGGATGAGGAAGGGAAGAATGATACTTCTGAGAAGAATCAAAGTTTCAATTGGGTTAAGTTGAAGAATCATGAGAAGAATGACCTCATTTCCCAGATTACATCGTTTGATAGAGAATTTGAGCTATATGAAATTTCTGACAAAAGTCATATGAAAATTCTGATAGAAGAGAACTATTTGATAGCGTGCATTGTATACCGAAGAGCTAAATACAATTTCTTGAACTCAGGAGAATTCTAGAAAGCCAGGACAAAGGGTCACCATCTGCATAGAAATGTTTCCATCAAGATTTTGGTTGGTAAAAAGGAAAATAGGATATGTATATGATGTCCACTCTGACTTCATTCCACCTCTTCCCTTCTCCTGTCTAACCCTTTTTTGCACACACCTTTCTGGTCCATACAGCTGATTCTGGTGTTCGCTGCTCAAATTAAAAATTTTCCTTTTCTTTTACTTTTTCTTCTATTTTTTTCCCCTTTTTCTTCTTCTCTTTATTCTTGTCCCTTCTAGTCTCAAGGAAATATAGGAAAAGGTAGGAAATTGAAGGTATTAGAATAATTTTTTGGTCAGTAGGTTTTTGGAATTTCAGTAATAAAAATGTTTTAAAGAATGAAGGCAAGTAATGGAGACGTTTCTGTGAAGTCTCCACGCTCACTGGAGGCAGATTGCAGTAGTCCTATAATAGTTCTCTTCTCAAATAACGGAAATTCTATTTTCCTTTAAAATGGAGAAACAGTGTAATATCACGAGTTCTTCATTATTAGCCTTTAGAATATCTTAAGATATAAGTCAAGCACTTTATTCCCATCCAAAACCACACACAAATTTTCATTACATTCAGGGTCCATTGAACCTCTCTACAGATAGAACATTGCAAAGACTGGGAATTCCAGAACACTTAATTGTGCTCATGTAGAACGTGTACATAGACCAAGAGACAGTCTTTCGAACATAACAAGGGGATACTGAATGGTTTAAAATCAGCAAAGGTGTGCGTCAGGATTGCATCCTTTCACTATACTTATTCAATCTGTACGTAGAATAAATAATCGAAGAAGCTAGACTATATGACGAAGAAAGTGGCATCAGGATTGGAGGAAGACTCAAACACAACCTTTGATATGCAGATGACACAACCTTGCTTGCTGAAAGTGAAAAAGACTTGAAGTTCAAAGACTATAGCTTTCAGTGTGGATTACACCTCAACATAAAGAAAACAAAAATCCTCACAGCTGGACTAGTCAGCAACATCATGATAAACGGAGAAAATACTGAAGTTGTCAAGGATTTCGTTTTACTTAGATCCACTACCAATGCCCACAGAAGCAGCAGTCAAGAAATCAAATGATGTACTATACTGAGCAAATCTGCTGCAAAAGACCTCTTTAAAGTGTTAAAATGCGAACATGCCACTTTGAGGACTAAGGTGCACTGACTCAAGCCATGGTATTTTCAATCGACTAATATGCATGCAAAAGCTGGACAATGAATAAAGAAGACTTAAGAAGAATTGATGCCTTTGAATTACGGTGTTGATGAAGAGTATTGAATATACCATGGACTGCCAGAAGAACGAATATATCTTTCTCGGAGGAAGTACAGCCAGAACACTCTTTAGAAGGGAAGATGGCATGACTTCGTCTTATGTACTTTGGGCATGTTATCAGGAGGGACCAGTCCCTGGAGAGGGGCATCATACTTGCTAAAGTAGAGAATCAGCAAAAAAGAGGAAAACCCTCAACAAGATGAATTGACACAGGGGCTGCAACAAAGGGCTCAAACATAGCAACGAGTGCGAGGATGGCGCAGGAACAGGCGGTGTTTCATTCTGTTGTACATAGGGTTGCTATGAGTTGGAACTGACTCGACAGCACAAAACAACAACAACAGTGTGCTCATGGATTTTTACCTTTTTAAATATCTTTACTGTCATTTTACTGGGGCTTCACAAAGGAGCAGAGATAAACATCTATGTTAAAGCTTCCATGTTTAACCAAAATCTGAGATTTATTTTAATTGTATATATTTTAAACTATCTGAAGTTGTTTTTACTCTGTACATAAATTAAATATTTATTTTGAATGAGTAGTTATTATGTCAGCTAATTCATAAGACCTAGAGAGAGGACCTCCAAAAAAACAAAAAAGCAATAAAACTAAGAAATAAAGAGCAATCATGAAAAATAAAAGGTTTATGGGCAAGATCCCTTCAGTGATAATGGCATTTTCAGTAATCTGCATAGTTTCATTCCTCAGTAGCCTCTGAGATAGTGAACTATGCATACCACCCTCTACTCTTACCTTTTACTCTCAAAGACTTTTCTCACAAGAAAACAAAGTATTATTTAGGGATCAATAAACTGATACAGATCAAGTATCTACAACTGAGAAGGCGAAAGAAAATCTCCAATATTTCCAGACACCAAGATACCTGCAATCAAATTCAAAGATTCTTCTTCTTTGACATCCTCCCTCTTCACCTAGTCCCAGCAACCATCTCTCACTCTATATATTATCCCTCTTCTATAGAAGAAATGACTTCAAAGATGTCAGAAAAGCTACAGGATTTATTTGTAGATTGGTGATTTGGAATTTCCCCCAAACACAATCAACAATCTATAGAGGAAGAATTTCAGCTAACAGAGTTTTCCTTCTCCAGACCCTGGGCACTGCCCATCTACCTCGAGTAGTTCTTGCTTCTAAAAAGCGATCTCATTGAAATATTATACAATGTGAGAGGTCTGTACAGAATTTGGATTTAAGTTACTTCTTTTGGAAAATACCAGTCTATGTCTACCATTTAATTTCCAAGAAAAGAAGCTAAAAGAAATGTCCCATCTTCTCTTTCCATATATGTGGACACACATAGGATTCTTCTTTCCTTTCTTTTATCTTTCTTCCTTTAAGAACTTATTATTTTTTGGGCTAAATATTCCAAGGAAATCAGTTCTTCTTGCCCCAGCTTGTCAGGGAGACATTAAGCATATACAACTTCATCTGCTCCAAGTGAGTTTCTAAACACACTATCTTCCTGGATGACGTGAGACAAAGGTAAAACCTAACCCAAACCCATTGCTTTCAAATAGATTGCAACTCATAGCAACCGTATAGGATAGAGTAGAACTTCCCCATAGGGTTTTAAAGGCTGTAATCCTTACAGAAGCAGACTACCACATCTTTCTCCAGTGGAGTAAATGGTGGGTTTGAACCACCAACATTTCGATTAGCAGCAGAGTGCTTAACCACTGTGTCACCAGGGTTCCTAGAGAAAAGGTTAAAGGACAAAAATTTTATGCAAGGATGAACACGTTTTGAGTGTTTATTCTTTTAGAATCATAAATTTCAGAACTGGTAGAGGAACTGGTGACAGACTGTTTTTACTCTCACCACTGAAGCGTCTTGTGTGGGCCATGCTTACTTCTTGTTCTTCTGCTGTGATCTTAAGAGCGCATTTGGATGCCTTTTACATCAGCTAGAGTACCTGGGGTGGGTGGTAGGTAACAACAATAGTATACTAGCTTCTGGTCCCTAAACCAGAGTGGATCACTGCATCAGAGACTCAGTCACCTGCCCCACCAGGGCTGCTCAGAGTTTGTGCCCAGCTTCCACTGCAGTTCCTGTCACTGTGTCAAACAGAGCACAGTAATACACAGCCGAGTCTGACTCTTGGACTGAGGCTTTCTCCAAGTGGAAAGAAGATGCTTCTTTATTGTATGTGGCTTCAAAACTTTTGTTACTTCCCATTTCATTGGGCTTTGTGGCTTTCAGGAGAAGCTGCAGACCTTCTTGGGAGTATTGCACATACCAGAAAAGGACAGGGTACCCTGTGGTTGTACAGGCTCAGTTCGCAGTCAGAAAAGCCCCTTCAGAGAGGGTCACTTGGCCTTCTGTCTGGGTCACTGTGTCTCCATTGTTTCCTCCTGAAAAAAATTACAATAACAGATTCTGGTTACCTTGGATATGATCTGGGTAGATCCCTTTGGAGAAAATTGTGGCTAAAGATTACACTGAAATGATAGAACAAAAGTCTCTAAGCTTAAGTGCCATTTTACTTACCAAATAATAAGAATAGCACAATCACTGATCCTGGAGAAGAGTTCATTTTCAGCGCCTCTGGTGTCCTTGCGTCTTGACTGCTCAACGTGAGGAAAGATTAAGGTCACAGTAAAAGGCTGAATGTAAGGCACAGAATTTAAGCCGGAAACGTCTACGTGTTAGGGAGATGCGCCCCGCTTGTGGGCAAGATACTAACCTCAGAGAAATGTTTACCTTTTCTCCTCCCAAAAGTTTAACCCTATATCTTCAGCTCTAACCCTGTTTCTAAGACACATCACTCTTAGCTGTCAGATGGTCATTTGTAAACATAAAGAAATGTTGGTATGTTCATGAACCCAATTTTTTTTCCTAGCACACTGCTCTATGTGGAAGCTCCATACCATGACACTTCTGAGAATTATTTGATTTTACTTTACTTTCTTATTTAACCATTTTTGGCAACTCTGTGATCCACTAAAATATCATATAAGCAAGTTTAAGGATAAAACCTGAAAAGTGTCAATAACATATGCTCAGTCATTAGTCGATGATTTTGAATGGAAGAGACTTATTTTTATCACCATTCTATCCCCAAACCTTGAACAATATTGGATATGTAGTCAACAAGTATCTCTTAAATTCATATATGAACGACTAAATTAATGGTCACTGGTTGAGGAATTACTGCTACTTGAAATATCAAATTTTTTCAGGTCTAACACAGCATCATTTTAAGAAACACAATCAATTTA